CTCCCAGAGCCCACAAGAGGGCGTCAGGTGCCCCAGAACTGGGGTCAAAGACAAGTGTTGGGGCTAAAGGCTACTGGTGCTCCTAACTACGAAGCCAGCTCTCCACGAGTAACTTGTTGTTGTTATTGTTTTTTTAATTTAGTTTGTCTTTTAGTCAATTAAATTATCACAAATGAAACTACACGCTTTGACAGGAATTTTTTAAAGCATGTTTAAATTACAAAGAACATTGTCCTAGCCACCGAGAAGCAAAAAAAAAAAAAAATTCAGCTGTTAGAGGAACTGGCAAGATCTAAAGAGATTTCAGTAAGCCTAAATCCCACAGATAAAAAGAAAAAATGAGTCACATCGGGGACATACTTAAAAAAAAAATACCAAAAATGTTCACTGTCTTCTTTAGCCCAACAATACCATTTTATGATGGTATTTGAAGTCGCTTCATTTTTAGCCCATGACTAATTACATGGGAATCTTCCAAACCAACAATGATTTCATTCTTCAAGCATGCTGGTCAGGATAACATTTTGTTTCTAAAACACTGCACTCATTCCCTTGCGCCAACCCTAACACCAAGTTCCCAAAAGTTTAACCAGCTACATGTCTTTTATCAAGTAGGCCAATTGCTACAATACTGGGGCAGGGGCGGGGGGAGGTCAAGCAATATGAAAAATAATAACTACTTAGATGGTAGTGGGGGGGTGCATTCTTGTCAGGAAAAAATAGCTATATTTGGTCACATACCATCTCTTAGACACACTATTTTATATGCACTCATTTTGGTTAGAGACTAAATAAGACCTGTAGTGGGGGCCTCAACACTGAACTTGATCTGTGTTAGAAACGTAAAACTGTATCTTCTTGTGCTCTCTGAATACCAATGCTCTCTTCCCAAGGGCCAGAGTGAACATTTGAGGCACGCTGTGGGTTGTGTGTGAGCCAGATACTCTTCAGTCAAGCCTGAGGGCTGAGCAAACGCTGGTACTCAGAGAAGGTGACTGTGTAAAATGCCGTCGAGGGTGTTATCACATCTTCTGACGATCGGAGTAGTATAAAATAATCAAGGTTTCCTGGAACATGTCTATAGAAAAGCTTAGCACCTGAATTCAGGGGCAAAGCGTGGAGGCCAGACGTGAATAGAAGAATCAAGATGAAGATGCTTTGTCCCTCTGAGTGATAACGTAACAAACAACACGAGACGGCCAAGAAAACCACCAGGCTTCTCAGAGAAATGCAGGCTGGACAAAGGGTCTAGCCTCATCTACATCATCTTCTGTGAAATTACAAAGGGGGCTGGCCATGAAAGCACATGTACGTTGTATGGTGTCATGACAAGGTTTTAACTGGAGAGCTCCTGCAAGAATTCAGAAAAAAAAAACATGGAAAAAAAAACAGTAACAATAACGGAAAAGTGCAATTATTAAATACCTATCGTATACAAAGTCCAAGAGTTAACTATTGAACTTCATAATGATGATTCTATAAAATTAGATATTATTGCATTATTATTCTCTTTGTGTGGGGCAGGACAAAGAGTATATTAATCTGCCTTGGGTCACACAAGCAGTAAGTGATAGAAAATTTTAAAAAATTAAGTTCTCATGGCCAAGCAACAAAGTTTTCAAGTGTTTAGAACTAGAAAATTAAAAAAAAATTAAGTTCTCATTGTCAAGCAAGAAAGTTTTCAAGTGTTGAGAACCCTGTTCATTGTCACTTGATTTCAGGATAACCGAAAGCCCCCAAATGTCCCTGAGAACAAGGGCTGGGTCTAAGCACCCCTGCCTTCCAGGAGAGGAGACAAAGGCCCAAGGGTAAAGTCGCAGGCAGGTGCAGCTGGAAGAGACCCGAGTGATTCTTCCAGTTCCTAGACAACGGCGCTCTTAAGACACGCCGCCACAGTGCTGGGCAGCTACCCCCACAGTCTCTTTCCATTCTAAGGTGTCCTAATCTGAATGTGGATTTACGTAATCTCTGTAAAGAAGAAAAGCTTCTACTACTGTGGTGGTCTGAATGAGATGTCCCCCATGTCTAAGGCCAAACCACCTGAATGCGCCTGATCTCGTCTCATCTCGGAAGCTAAGCAGGGTCGGGCCTGGTTAGCACTGGGATGGGAGATGTCCCCCAGTCTCTAGCACTTGAATGACTTGTCCCCAGTTGGTGTGGCTGTGTTGAAGTGTGTCGTGTCACTGAGGGTGGGCATTGATGTTTTAAAGCCTTGCGCAGTTCCGGATGCACTCCGAGATATGAGCTCTTGGCTTCCTGACCCCGCCTGCGTGCCTCTGCTCGGCCATCGTGAGCTCAGACTCCACAGGACTGCAAGCCCAAACAAACTCTTCCTTCTACAAACTGCCTTAGTCATGGTGTGTCATCACAGCGACTGAGAAGTGACCAATACAAATACCTTGTGACATGTGACAGAGTTGAGACCCAATCCAGCAAACGCCCGACAGGATCCCGGTGTAAATAAATCTCTCAGGGAAGAAAAACAAAGGCCCCCTGCCTCAGTTTTAACATCTGTCTTGAAGGAATTTTTTTTTTTTTTTTTTTTTTGGTGGGGGAACTGTTTCTCAGACCTCAAATTGAGGTTTACTCATGGATCATAAAAGCAATTTAATGCCTCAGAGATGGATGGCATTTTGGTAAATCCAAATGAACTATAATAAGAAATATACCTAATACTTTATTGCAAACACCTAGTGTTAAGAGCGCTACCCTTTAGGCATGTGTGCAGTCAGTCATGCATGCGGTACAATTCTTGTTCCAGTCTCTATCAAAACCATCAAACAAGCAAACAAACAAACAGAAAAGCTGAGCAGTGGTGGCGCACACCTGTAATCCCAGCATTCAGGAGGCAGAGGCAGGTGGATCTGAGTTTCAGGCCAGCCTGGACTGCAGAGCAAGTTCCAGGACAGTCAGGGATACACAGACAAACCTGTCTTGAAAAAACAAAAACCAACCAACCAACCAACCAACAAAACACACCTAAACACCACAGCGGAAGGCCACCAGGACACCTGGCATGGGAAGCATCCTTAGCTCTATCTTGATGACTGAGGTTACTGGGATCAACACCTAGAATATCTCATGTCTGCAATTACAGAACCGTCTTGACATGCTGAAGAGCCAGCTTGATTAGCCATGCAAAGAAATTCCAGGAATGTGCCACCTCAATGCTTTCCCAATGAAACACAGACACAAGACTGCGGAGAAAAACACAATGTTTCAAGAAAGCGCACAAAGGAAGTCAGGGCTCTGGGCAGAAAGGCCGATGCCCAGCCCAGCAGGAAACAACACAATGAACAAGGGAACAGCCAACCTGCAGCCTGCGGCAGCAAAGATACTCCAAGGGCCAGCATGTGGGAAAGACGGCATGCGTCATTCTGAAGGCTTTATCCAATAGAGAAGGGAGAACGAGAACTATCACAAGAAAACACAAACGTGTGTTCAAATAAAACATGGTCCGCTTCCATGCCTGTCACCAACTCGCAAGTAAGTCTAAAACCTGATAAAGTGTAAAAGTCATATAAAAGCTGAGTTTCTTTCTCTCTTTCCTCTTCATTGTCTTGCAGTGGCAGCATTGCCTTCTCTGCAAGACTGCTGTCTTGGGGAGAAAGACAGAGCAACTGAACAGGACATCTATACCGTACCCCCCTCCCAAGGCTCAGAAGTCATTGTAGAAGCCCGGGTGAGAAGCGACCAAGAGCTGAGGCAGTAGATGAACACAAGGAAAACAGCTAAGGATGCAGCAGGACTGCTGCTCACAGGGACTCAGGGTGGCTGTGACAGCCATCACAGACCAGATCCCAGCACGGAGAGGAAGTGGGACACACGGCCCACCGCTAGCCGTGGAGCGACTGCAGACTGTCGGCTGCTGGTGAGAAGAAAGACGCTGCTCTCTAAAACTGTATCCCCTGATCAATCAACCAGGATCCACACATCCAGGAATACTGGGGCAGCACAAATTGGTCTTGAGTGATTTGGAGGGTTAGGGGGGCACAGATTGGATGGGTGAGGAGTGGGGGACGGGTCGGGGGAGAGCTGGAGAAGAGGGCAGAGGACCAATCTCATCAACACATTATATGTGATGTTCAAAGAAGTAATTAAGAGGAACAAACGCAGAACAAATCTAGGGATCCATTGCATTATAGTCTTGACTGAAACAATGAATCGTGGGTAACAGCTGCTAAAAGCCTCAGCTAGAAGACAGGCAATCAGCTTTAAAATAGACACATCAGGCTGGAAACTCCTGAACTCAGAAGTGGAGCGGTGCCTCCTACAGAGAAAAATGCAGTGAAAATATTTCTAACGAGATAAGAGGATCAGAGCCCTAAGGAGAATGAGCCAACCAGTCCATCAGATCCATTACGAGGGGACAGGAAATACAGGAGCACAGAGATGCAAGCAGCTAGATTACAAATACAGGCACCCTACAAAAACCTGCTTTCCTCAATAAGTAAGGCCAAGAAAAACCAGCGATGGAACTGGATGAGACTAAAATAAGCCTTAAATTTGGACTCACTCAAATGTGTCATTACCCACTTTGTTTGATCCTGATTTGTACAATCACACCTCAAAGGGACTTTTTCAGGAATGTACAATTTGAATATAGACTACCAGGTTACATAAGCATAAGGACTTATTTTTAAATTGTTAGATGTGATAAAATACCGTATTGGTTTCTTAAAGCGATAAAACATTTTAAATAAGAAAGCACAGCACACGTAAGAAATCCAATTAGCAGAACGTCAGGAAGTGGACACATAAAAGCCCCTTCTGGGAAAAACAGTTCGCCTTTCTGGTAGACGTAGAATTCCAAACACCTACAAAGCAGGTCACCTGACTTTCATCCTTCAGAAGACGGGGCTAAGGCCATCTCAGCTAGGTAAAGACCACGCAGCCGAGGCTCCCTTCTCTTTCCAGATGCTGCACCGCTGGAAATGCAAACGTGCACACTCTAAGGACCGCACTCTGCCACAGCACACGCGCTCTATCAGAAAGCTTACGCGACGGGGCTGGCGAGCAGGCACGCCTCTTGGTTCTCTTCCTGGAGCATGGAACTTATCTTCCTTCCTGCAGCTTTACTGATGGATGTCTTCAGCTTTTTAGCGAGCTTTTTGGGGGTGTTGGTTATGGAGGAGTCCTCGGCACCACAGCTGTACACGTCGATCTTTATCCGGAAGTCCGGGCCCGCTTCGTGGCTAAGCACAGGAGCAGTTAGAATGCTGGGAGGCGAATTCAGTAGACGCTAAAACTAACTCACCTTGGATGTTTTTACGATAGTAAAAAAAAAAAAATCAACATTTAAATCATATATAAAGGAGATGCAATTTCCACAGTTATTTAGTTTCTGAAGAGCTTTAGAGGTTCGCTGTAACTTTTAGAGCTGTTAGCTTCTAAACTAGAGTCTTGGAGATTTGGGGAGTGACTTCTTTTTTTTTTTTTTGGTGAAACACTTGCCAAGCACGCATGCATACCTGGTCAGGCATGACCTAATCAGTGAGCTGTAGGCCAGCAGAAGACCGTCTTGAAAAATACAGCAGAGAGGGCCCACTGTTGTCCCCTGGTGTCTGGATGCTTATGCATTAACACCCCACAGACATTCACAGCACACACAAGAACATGTGTGTGTGCACACATACACAAGACACGCAAGCGAGCACTTTACTTCACTTGAGCCAACACACACAGGCACAGTACTTAAAAAGCGTGAACACGCTGGCTTTGCTGTTTTTCCCTCACAGTCCTTCACCACCAAAATGTGAAAGTATCTATTTATATTATATCTGGAATTTCATGAAACATCTGTCTCTCCTGAACAGAGTCCACGGAAACTCCAGTTCCCATTTGTCCTCATACCCAGTCAGTCCACCGCCTCACTGCGGCCAACAGCCATCAGCATTCCACTGTTTGGTCAGAGAGAGAGAAAGGCCCACAAAACCAAGAGAAGGGGATAGACTTCACAGCCTGGGGCTCCCAGAGGACAGGCACAGCCTTGATGAAGGCTGTGGCTTCACAAACCATGCCTGAAAGGAGATGGGACCGGAGAGGCTTTTATTAAAACCTATTCAGGGCCGGGCGGTGGTGGCGCACACCTTTAATCCCAGCAGTCGGGCAGCAGAGGCAGGGGGATCTCTGTGAGTTCAATGCCAGCCTGGTCTACAAGAGCTAGTTCCAGGGAGGCTCCAAAGCTACAGAGGAAACCTGTCTCAAAAAACAAACAAACAAACAAACAAAAAACCCAAAATACCCTATTCAGAAATTCTCCAGTTTGGAGATGTTTTGGTTGGTAGAGGCTTGCTTACCAAGCATAAGGGCCTTAGTTTGGGTTCCCCCACCCATGAATCAGATGTGGTAGCCTGTGTCTGTAATCTCAGCAGTTCTTCAGCAAGATTGGAGGCAGACCCGGGAGACACCCCGGGAGCCCGTGGGCCAGCTTGTTTGGCATATGCCAGAAAAAACAAATCCTGGCTCACACTAGGTGAAAGGCTCTGGGCTACCCTGGAGGTTGCCCTCTGACCTCCACACCTGCTGTTTCACAACTGTCCTCATGCTCTCCCACACAAACATGCGCACAAAGAAAACAAACGGATAAATCAACTGTTTAGCAAGCACAATATGTCGGGCATTACTCTTTCTAGGCACAATCAACTACCATCAACACAGAAACCCAAGGTGTTGTTACTAAGAGCAAGACACACTTAGGACCGCATCCATCTCCAGACGTGACCGGAAGACAAAAGGGAGTCAGTCATGGGGCCTTAAAATTCAAATGGCCAATCTAGGGTTTGAATAAATCCAAGGACCAACTTCCAGATATTTTTATAGTTTCTTACTTGGCAACTTCCAAACATACAGTATTCCTGGTAATGAGTAACAAATGTCAATATTTAGAAGAAAACCAGAGATTCATAAATATTGAAGACTTATTAAAAACAAGCATCATAACAAAAAGCACATTTTTTAACATTGAGAACACTTGTCAGCAGTTATTTTTAGACCAATTTGAAATATTTACACAAAAAATACCAATAAATCATATGCTGTCTTCCAAGTCATTTGTATTGTTCTTCCTGCGGGGGGAGGGGGGTCCATCTAACTTTTGTCTTTGTGGCAAAAAAAGCAAACAATGGCCGAGTGATGTGAAGAAAAGAGCCAATTAGCCAGTGAGTGGGATAATTTTGGCAAGAAACAAAATATCATTAGCAATGTCTGAAAATAGAAATGAAGATAGAGAGATAATGAAGGAAATACACTTTAGCCTAAATTCTACAAGAACTTGGGACACTTCCTGAGGCGGGGCATCACTGGATTCCTTTGGCTTAAACGCAGCTTATAAAATGGCCCGTGTTGCTGCTAATAGCCCAGGGTGCCATGTTGTTTTGTCCTATACAATCACGCTGGGGACACCAGCACGGAAGCCACAGATGCTGTCTGTGGCCGTCCCGTCGGTGTTACCTGACTGGCAAAGGCGGGCCTCTGAGGTCTCAAGGGTCAGTGGACGTGGCAAGGGGCGGGCGGCTGGCTCCACGTGAGCCGCCCCACTGCTATTCCCACTCGATAGGGGAATGGCATCTTGAAAACGCCCAAGAAACAAATCCCACGAGGCGACGGCAGAGTCTTTGAAGGAGAGGACAGGAAAAACTCATGGTGATTAGAAATGATCTCCGGGGCTGCCCAAGGAGCCGTTTCTGCCTCTCTGTATGATGGCCATAATACAGTGAGCCTGCGCAGAGCAGGGCCGTAAAACAGTGCTTTAAGATGGCCAGGCTGTTCACTGAGTCCGTGAGGAATCCACTGTAAGGGAAAGAATGGCCGAGCACCATGCTAGGCACTTAGAGAATGGCTTGGAAGCAAACCTGCTTCGCTACTTTAGTTCTCGTGTCCCTAAACTTCCTGTGAAGTTTTAAAAAAAAAATCAGCTTTATGCCTAAATTCACTGTACAGCAAACATAAAGTGAAATTCGATTATATTTATAGCTTGGTTAATGATAGAAATATAAATATTTATAAAGAGTTTATCAGAGCCAACAAGCCAACTATTTGCTGCTTATATTAATTAGAAGATTTCTATTTTATTCTGAATCCAAAAAAATGTATCTTTTAAACATTTAAAGCTGTTAATGCTTTGAAAAGGATCCAAGGACCATCAGGATGTGGGCCATCAGAAACCAAAGACAGCAGTCGGCCCTCCTTTACCGATAAGAAAAAGAGGCAGGGGCTGGAGAGATGGCTGAGTGGTTAAGAGCAATGACTGCTCTTCCAGACGTCCTGAGTTCAATTCCCAGCAACCACATGGTGGCTCACAGCCATCTATGAGACCTGGTGCCCCCTTCTGGCTTGCAGGCACACATGGAAGGAATGCTGTACACATAATAAATATTTAAAAAAAAAAAAAAGAAAGAAAAAGAGGCAGACTTCCAAGTTCATTCTTTACAGATGAAAGATACTTACAATATGGTGACGTTGTCAAAACATATATCTGTGACTGTCTGATCCACAATCACCATGTCGGTGTCAAACACTTCGGCTCCCATTCTGAATAAACAAAAGATGGCGTAGCACTGTGTGCCTAAAGGAGAGACAACGGTAGAGGAGGCCATCACAAGCAGGACAAATCAGGCCCGAGATGCTCGCCTAGCACGCACGCACGCACGCACGCTGAGCACTGAGTTGCCATAGCTCCGGCCACGGCTTCCTGTGTTTGCAATGGTCCCTCTCCCAACTCAAACCCAACCTCAAACGAAGGACCAAAAATGAACATCAGCCCCGCAGCTTCCTGAAGAGATTCCCCAGAAACCAATCTGATCACTAACCAACTCGTGCCCCACCAGGAAACTAAGCACCGCACATAATGATTCCACACCTAAGGAGGTCCAAGTCTTAGGAGAAAGCGACTTTTAAAGGCGGGAACACCAGCAGCAGCCAAATGTCTTCCACCGCGCTGAAAACAGGAAGAAACCACCTGAAAGCCCCAACGACCAAAAGGCAGGCAAAGCAATGAAAAGTAACAGGAGACACACAAAGTGGGACTAAAACAGGGGGACACAAAAACAGAGCTGCTAGGCCTTGCGATTTGTTGATGCTCTAACAAATGCCAGGGGATTAAAGAGCTGGTTTATTAAAGACTAGCCATGATTTCTTCATTACTGAGAAAATGTAGCTCTTCAGGAAAAGTTTATTCTCTGCAGTAAGCAGGAAGATTGACTTAATTCCCACATGCCTTCCTTGGTGAAGTAAATTATATGGCCTAATTGAAAAACAAACACTAACTTGATTTAAATTCTTCATATTAAATTAATTATGCCTGATACCATTCATCTTTTGGAATATGAAGAATAAAGCCACAATAGACAAGACAGATAAAGGACTATCGGATCACTCGGCTTTGCCTCGCCCAGGCAAAAGAGACATCTGAGGTTAATGACCGTCATCCAAGCAATACACAGACTTGTGAAGACTGCATACAGCCAGTAAAATAGAAGGGGAAAAGAAGATCACATCTAGTTAACAACCTCTCATCACATCCTGTTAAATAACCCAACAAAGCAAAGCCGAGACCTCACTCCAGACAGCTGTTTAGTGTGTGTGGGGGGGGGGCTACCTTCCTCCCCCACCTCTCCACCTTGAGCCCATCACTCAGGTTCCCATCAACGAGGGAAAAGTGTATGTGGTATGTGCCATCTACTCTGAATCAGGAAACTGGCACGCAGACCCCTAATCGGAAAACAACCCTTCACCAGCACCGCGCTTACTGCCAAACAAACGGCAGCGCCATCTCTCAGTGCCGAAGGAGTCTGTCCTCAGAAATCACAAACTGGGATCCTGTGCGCTAAAGGAAACACTTCCGACTATGAATGGAACCCATACGTACGTTCTTTATTACTGAAGTGATCAGAGTCTTTCCACATGAGTGGGATTCGGATATCTGCAAAGGCGGCAGAAAAAAAAAAAGACAATTATTTTGATAATTTTTATTTCACCATGATGTGAACCTCTGAATTCCATAATAAACAGTGCCTATCAAAGATGGAATATACACATTTTCTAGTTGTTCACAGCTGGTTTATGAAATATTTTGTTCTTGTATGTATACAGGTGTTTTGTCTGCATCACTTATGTGCCATGTCTGATGGCCACGGAGGGCAGAAGAGGGCACGAGATCTGAGGTTGCAGGTGGTAGTGAGCCCTCATGTGGGCGCTGGGCCCCAACTCAGGTCCTCTGCAAGAGTAATACATACTCTTAGCCACCTCTCTAGCTCCATAGGTGATAATTTTAGAAGTTATTAAATATATGTAAAATTCAGGGGTATTTGAAATAAAAATTCATTCTTTTAATTTATGATTTTAGCCCCACGTCTATGCCTTTTCCTCCCCGCTCCCCGGCTTTATGATGCCTCCCTTAGCAGCTATGCCATTCTGAGTCCACATCTGTCCCTGGTCCAAACACATCACGGATGGAACCAAATCATTAATCAGCAATTATAGATCCCAGTGCCAAACGTGCTAGAATTGCTGTCTTTCGGAGGCATCCGATTGTCACTGGTTTTTTACCATTTGATCAAAATCCCTCTCAATTAACTTAGGAGCTCAAAACATTTTTACACGCCCCCCATCCCCGTGTGTGTGTGTGTGTGTGTGTGTAGGTCAGAGACAACTTATAAAATTTGTTTCTCTCCTACCATGTGCACCCCAGGAATTGAACTCTGATCATCAGGGTTGGCGGCAAGCGCCTTTATCTGTTGAGTCCTCTCATTGGCCCAGGGAACTAATAACGTCTTCGATATTTTATCTTCACATAGCGTATTTACTTTTAACATTTTCTCTAACCTTGGCTTTTGGTTTGAGGGCTGGAGCTGGGGTCCACAGGCTCAGCAGAACCTCCCACTGAGCTAGCCATGCCTGCAGCTCCCACACTAACATTTTAATTACGGTTATTCTTGTATATTTAATGCTTGAGGGTAGTTGCTGCCTTGTTGTAAATTACACTTTTTTTTTCATTATATTCTGTAGCACGTTATTGCTGGTTTTAAGAAAAACTACCACTTTTTATTTATTTATCCTAAATCCAGTCACATTTTATTGAATGCTTTAATTCAAGTGTCTCAGTGCCTCCCCTTAGGTCACATCCATCTGCCATCCATTAGCCTCGAAAAGTCTCCAATCTGCCTATTCATTTTCAATAGCTTCATTTTTCAGTCATTATTTTAGCTACAATTCCAGACCAGTGTTAAATTATGTTGACATAATAGACATTGTTATTTTGTTCTTGATTTTAATAGGAATGTCTTTGTCTCATAACTCTAACTCGGCTGATGGCCTGTCAGGCCTTGCTTCACAATGGCTGCCTCCTTCCCTTCCACGATGGCCAACGGTTTCTCACTGCAGCTGCCCTGGCTGTGGTGTGGCAGCCTTAACTATTCCCACTGTCATGGAGGGACCCTGACCACGCTTCCTCAGGTGCTTCCCCACAACCAGGGTCAGTCCTGCTCCTTCTCACGCCTCATCCCAGCTCCATACAAACCTAGGGAGAGCGAGAATTTCCCATCCGTTTCCCAGTTGGCCATGGATTCCTCAGATAGCAGAGGGTCCAGCTCTGACCGACAGAAACAACCACCCACCTGGGTTTAGTTTATTGTACTCCACACCTTTGCTTTTCCTGTATCCTCATTGACAGTTTACAGAAACTGAGACTGCCTACACAGCTAGCGAACCGGAAGTATCCGGTGCCAGCCTGTAATTTGGTTAAGAGAAAACTAGGGACTGGGGCGACGGCTCAGGGGTTGAGCACTGGGTGCACAACCACAGTTTGGATCCCCAGAACCCATTACAAGCAGGATGGCTGTGGCAGCCACCTGTAATTCCAGCCTGGGGCGGGGTGGCGGAGGGCTTCCCAAAGAAAGTTGGCTCTAGAGATTGTCATTGCTAGGGACCTGTGAGTTTGACTGACAGACCCTGCCTCGAAATTAATTAAAAAGTGGAAGAATGACTGAGGATGACTCCACCTCAGGACGCGTCTACATACATGCATGCATTTGCTCACGTCTACATACATGCAAACATGCATCCACACATATGAAAATGGGAGAGTGAAAGCACTGCACTTAGTCGCTGAGTGGGGAGCCGGCGAAAACACAGGGCGATTGCCACAGGGCCACTGCTTGCTGTACAAAGCATGCGGGCGAACCCACTACTTTCATAGTTATGAAGCTCTGGCCAGGGGAAGCAGGTACAAGAAACTCAAGGTCTGTCTTGTTTATAGCGCAGTCTTAGAAACATTCTGACCCTGGGCTGCCAGTGTCCAGCGAGCCAAGACCGTGCTAATGGCACATGCATCCCATCCTCTGGGTTTCATTTCCTTAATTTCATTTAAAAAAATGTCTTGGGAAGAAAGACTATGTTTTGGGGAAGACGACCTTGGGTTTTGTACAAAGTTATCTGCGATCATGAAAAGACCCCTCCCCCACACGTATACCTTTTTTTTTTTTTTAAAGGATCCCTTCTAAATGCGGTAAACAAGCGCTCTCAAAAAGACAGCAGATGACGGCAATCACAGAGCTCACACGACAGGCCACTTACCTCATTTGCCTACAGAGTAGAGCCTTACTAGAAAGCAAGGGAGGGAGAACAATATTTAAATGATGGTGGAAAAAAAACTCCTCTAAAGATCTACAACAGTTAATCTACGCGTGCTAAACTGTATTTAAACAGAAGATGTCCCATGTTTGGCAGCAAATGGACACAGGCAATGTCACGGGCCTTGTGTCGGCCGCACACTGGAGACCAAGCATGAACGCCAGTAATCACAGAACCAGCGACAGGCTTTGGCGCGGCTCATCTAATTCTCTGGAGCACTTTGGGCAATTTCTCCAATCAGGTCCTAAATAAAATATCTGTTCTCCCGGCACGGTAACTTGTGTCTAGCCATGATTGTGACCGACGGAGGTGGAGAACGGTCCCTTAAGCGGCAAGCCCGGTGGTATAGCGGCTGGACACTCTACCTTAAGCCAATGGAAAAGCCAGCCATTCCTGGAGGCCAGCATAGGACACGCTGCTTTTCTAGGGTGTGCTGACGAGATACCTGCCAGCCTGCCATGCTAATCCTGAGGCATCTCTACGCCATTGTCTTGGATGGCCCTGCCATTTTGGAGAAACTGAGACTACACAGCCTAAGCGCCATCTAGTGGCAAGGCGTCTTCCAATGATGCGGACAGGAACCATGGTTCCAGCCTCAGTGATAGTGGGAGGGTTTAGAGATGAGCAAACAGATCCTGGAGAAAACACCACAGTTTCACAACCCAATTAGGTGTCTCAACCAAGGCGTGTGTTAACAAAGGAAGGAAAAAAAAATCTGCCTAAAGCACGTGACTTGTGTAATGGAAGACAGAGCCAGAAAAAGAACTGGGGCAGAATGGAAAACTTGGCGGGGCTGGGGCAGTTTGGTTTTTACAAGCTGAAAGTGGTCAGTCATCTTCCCAGCATTCACTGAGCAATCACAGGAGCCAAGCCCAGGGACAGCGGCTTTGATATAATGTGATAAACACGGACCCAACTCCCATGGAAACTGTATCTTAGAAGATCCGTAAACAGAAAAGGCGGGGAGAGAGAGCTTGTGGGTTTGCAGCCCACCTTGGGCACCTACAGCAGGCAGGTCACTCGACGCGCCTTCTGCACATTCCACAACCTGAACAGAGGGCAAACCTGTACCATGTCTGTAAGGCGCAAGTTTCCCCCACACTGCGATGTTCCACGCGACTTCAGGGAATAATGGTTAAATATTTAGAATATATATTCTGATGGAGGTATGAACAATGGAACGGAGAGACCGGAAATACCGAATACACGAGGCCGGCAACGCCAGCCACTCTACGGACACACCCAGCAGCACCGCCAGCACCCACAGCCTACCTGAGAGGGCGAGCCTCCCTCTGCAGGGTCTTCGTTCTTTGCTCTCACAGTTCACGTCGCTGTCAAGAGAAACACACATCAGCACCAACAAAGGTCTTTCTTAAAAGAAGCGACGGTTTCAAGTCTTTGGCAAACAGCTGAACTTTAAAATAAATATACACCTATGAATACTAATAACTAATGTGGAGTATTTGCCTCAAAAGATGTTTAGTCGACAGCTAGCTACCTTTCAGGGAGTTTATATAAACCGTTCAACTTCCTAATAATGTGTACTTGGTGACACTCTGATGGCGGCTTTGCTGACCAACTCAACATAATGGACAGTATTGTTCCTGTCCCTGGGACTGCAATCACAAAACCTACATTTCGAGTCTGTTGGCTGCACTGGCCTGAAGGAGTCAGGTGTTGCCTAAGTCAAGCTGTGGGCTGCTATCCCTGAAGAAAGCCCCATCTCACCTTTGGCTATAATTTCTATGCAGGTGGCATAATATCTCATCTCTCCTAAGTTCCAACGAACAAGCACACAGCAGATTAGTATGAGAGAACAGAAAGCAGAGAAGGAAACGGAAAACCTCTTTCAAGGACATTCTGAGATGTAAGACAACCTCCCTCCCAAAGTCAGGACTTCCTATCACTCAAAACAAAATGAGACACCATTCAAGCTGAAGATCGCGCATTCAAGGCCAGCCTGTGCTACCCTATGAAGACCCTGTCTCACACACAGAGCAAGGGAGGGCGAAGTGGCTCAGTGGATAAAGGCGTCTGCAGGCAAACGTGGGGCCTGAGGTTGATCCCCGGAACCCACGTCATGCAAAGAAAGAACAGATGCCTGCCATGTTATGATATAAAAATATTCTCAAACTATAATATAAATCTAATTAACCATAAAATTTTGCAGAATTAAGTCTGTCTTTAAAAAAGGAGAAAACTCAAACCTCAATTTTCTGAAGCCTCAGTCATTTTCAGTTTAAATACTCTCAAAAATGTTACTTTGGGTGCAAAAGTGGGATGTTTTCCCAACTCATCCAGATTAACCATGAAACTGTTGAGTAAGGCTGTTTGATTTAGTTAAAGATGCCTGAAAGCTGCCACGGTCACATCGACTCTGAAAGCTGCAGTTAAAGAGTCAACCTGAGCAAAGGGCACAGGTACAAACAGTGCACCTCCTCCAGGCAAACCAGGTCACAGCGCTATCTTGGTTAAACCTGCACACGTTAATCTGCTTTTCAGAGCCGAGGACCAGACTTAGGGACCAGTGCTCTACCACTGAGTCACTTCCCAACCCCTAAATGCTAATTTAAGAGATAGACACATAAAAGACAAACTTGACTTTTTTATAGTGTAGGTCCAGAAACTGAGCAACAGAGGGCGCCAATCTGCCACTCTGTTGCTCAAAAATCCATAAGAAAATGCTCTGGGTAAACACAGCTCGGCCTGTTTTATGTTGTTACATATGGGGGGAGGAGGGGCTTTAAACACCATTTCTGTGCCAAAATTGGTGCTTTGTAACAATAGCATAATGATAACAATATTTTACATTTTCTTAATGAAACAGTTACAGGATTCTAAGTGGTATTTGAAAGTATTTTATAAGAACCTCCACCTTTTATGCAAATAAAAACTAAAACGCCCAGAAATACACAGTGCAGAATTTAAAGCCTAAAACTACAATGTATGATGGTGATAGATTCATGATGCCCTAGATTATACCAAGTGTGATACAATCAGCCCCTTTCCATAGACCCTCAAGCTGTGTAAAATTTAAGAAATAATTTCAGCAGAGTCTTTAAATACATGTTTCATTACAGAACTACAACAAGCACTGATTTTTTTTTTCTTACCATCTAGGCTTTTTCTTCTTTTAACTTACAGTACGTAAGCAATAAAGTCAGAGACTGGAGTGTGAAGACTGGCAATCACAGCCAACTCACAGGGTTATTTCGGCACTATTAAAAACTCACAATTATGTTGAATGACACACATAATTAAATCCTATAAATGACTCTAATTAGCATTATTATTTTTTTCTTACAAAGCCAAATAAAGCATTTCAGATTTTTAAGTCGAGAAGAGATGGGATGGCCGGGGTGGGGGATGGAGGCTGAGGGAGGACAGTGTTAAAATGTGAGCTCTGTGAGCGTGGACGAGTGCCTCACCCAGCACAGCGCCCCACCAGGCCCTGGGCATCTGGGCCTGCTGCTGAGAAGGGCAGGAAGCACGGGCATCCGGGGAGCTGACCTGGAGTCAAGCTTTGGGCTTCAGCACCACTTCCCTCAGTGAGTGGCTGAGTGGCTGACTGCACCCACAGAGAGAGGAGGGCCATATCTCGTTAGCTTCTGCAGCTGCTGAACCAATTGACAACTCTCATGTGTCTGTGGAATTCTTTAAGGTGTCACACAAACGGATGCCTGCTTTGTGAATACAGATGTGTGGGTTCCAGGGTTGAGCCGAGGCTCAGGGAGAAGACACACTGAGTCATTTGCTCACGGATCAGAGTCTAACTGACAGTTCCTGTGACAGTCATCTGAGACTTCCTACACAGCCCATTAGAGTCTTCACGTCAACCAGAAAAACAGGGTCTCCTGTAACGCCCGCCAGCAGCACAACCAGGAAATGGGCTGCCACAAATGCCACTGTCTTTGGAAGACATGAAAGGCAACTCCTGGAGACCTCGTCCCACACAGCTAGGTAACCATTAGCTGAAGTTACACTAGCCTGGAAGGAAAGAGAATGTGCATAGAAGGCTTGAGAAAGCTTGTAGAATACTGATACTAAACCCTGGGGGGTTGAAATGTACTCAGCTTCAACCATTGTTAATACTGTGGAGGAGAAAGATGGGTGGTGGTGCACGCCTTTAATCCCAACACTGGGGAGGCAGAGGCAGGCGGATCTCTGTGAGTTCGAGGCCAGCCTGGTCTACAGAGCAAGTTCCAGGACAGTCAAGGCTACATAGAGAAGCCCTGGCTCGGAAAACCAATATGTATATGGGAGGAGAGAGGCATGAAGTATGAGTTTGGCATAAAAATAAAAAGAATGCAGTTAACCTTAAGAACCCCAAGAAATATCGTCATGTCCAAGAACCAGAAAACCAACCCAATGTCCCCAAAGCAGCATTATTAAAGGTATGGTCCACTATTCCAAAAACAAATCACCACTGAGTAAGAAACCACGGAAGTCCTTTTAGCAATATCCCACTTAGACCTCCAGGGTCTTGGCGCAGGAAAACGTCACTAAATCATTAAGGACAACAATAACAATCACCAAAAAGAAACCCTTGCATCCAGATGCAGTCACTGCAAAGTCAAGAGTCAGCTGATAATAGTCTAGCAACCACATCTTCACAAAGGAGAGAAAAAACAACAACAACACTTGAATGCAATACTCCAGAATGAATTACATGCAGTTAAACAAGTCATCGCACATGCGACAGAGGAGGTGGGTGAGGCTGCGGGAATCCAAAGGCCAAGTATTCAGAAGGAATAAAGCAGAGGCAGACGCACGGTGAGAAGGATGAAGAACAGAACTGGAAGGAGTAAGGCCGGTGCTGGGATCAGCATCGGAAAGCAAATTCGGGATGAAGCTGGCAAGAGAAAGAACCAAAAAAAGGGAAAAAAAATTAATTGAGTGCTACGAGATCGCAAGGATGGGCACAGAAGACAGGGCCGGTGTCCAACATGTATGTAAGTGGCAAGGGTTCTAAAGAAAAAAAGTAAGATAAAATTAACAGTTTATTTCCTGAAATGAAAATTTTCAGTAAATAAAAGAATTGTGTGTGTGTCCCTACCTAAGCCCAAGAGTCCACCTTACACACATTCAGCTTCAACATTAAAAACAAAACAAAACAAAAACCAAATAAACATTACTTTCAGTCTCCAGGCAAAAAGGCCAAGCTGTTTACAAAGGAAAAATAATTAAATATTAGTCAAAAAAAAATATCAAGACATGGAAGATTTTCAAGACTCAAGGGAAGAAATTACAGCCCGAAAGTTTGTAATCAGGGAAGCTGCCCTTTTAAGTAGCAACTCTAAGGGAAAACACTTGTTTATGCAAGAATGTGAAGAAGAGAAAGAAAAGCCACTCAGGTGTGGCATTTGCTAGCTCGTGACAGCACTGGCCAGCACAATGTTCGAGGTCATTGGCCAGCACAATGAAAAGCAATGCCTGTTATACTGTGTAACAGACGGGACGACTCAAGTCTAGAGCTCAGGTGCAGATGGTCGTCTTGAGATATAAATATTATCCACTCTACCAAAATAGAAATATCACAATTCAAAATGCAGTGGAGAGGGCTGAGAGAAGTTGGTAGAGCACTCGAACACACGTGAGGACCTGAGTTTGTAACCCCAGCACTGGGGAGGTGGACGCAGTAGGTCTCTGGGGCTCACTGCCTAGCCCATTCTGGCCTAACAGGAAAGCCCCAGGTCAATGAGAGAGAGACCCTGTCTCAAAAAACCAAGGTGGAGAATGCCCAAGGAACAGCTGGGATTGACCTCTGGCTTCCAGCTGCACACTCACAGGCATGCACGGAAACACACAAAAATAACAGAGAGCAAAGGGAAAACAGGATCGACTTAGTATTTTTTTTATATTTATTTTATTTATTTATTATGTATACAATATTCTGTCTGTGTGTATGCCTGCAGGCCAGAAGAGGGCACCAGACCTCTTTACAGATGGTTGTGAGCCACCATGTGGTTGCCGGGAACTGAACTCAGGACCTTTGGAAGAGCAGGCAATGCTCTTAACCACTGAGCCCCTCGACTTAGTATCTTGACACAAATAATAAACAAAAGAATTGCTTAAAGCAGAAAAAAAGAAAGCCTGAGAACCCCCAACGATACATGGTATTGCCACTGCTCTTGGTCACCCACCAGAACCTGACAGTAAGATCCTATTTCTAGAAACATCAGGCATGGATCAGTCAATTTGTTCCTGACCAAGCATCCCCCTAACCACTGGCTAGCTCTACAAGCTGCTGAGAGCCAGGGCTATTAACGGTCTTAACCAGCTGTGAACTTGTGAGCAATTATGACTAGCGTAGGAAGCTACACCCATGGGTGCCACAGGGGCATGGATGTTATGGGGATGAATGCTATGGGGGTAACTGACTTTCTACTGGATTTAACGTCTGCTCTGCAAGAGGAGAGTCATGCCCGGGACCGTAAATCTGGCTAAGAATCCATTGTTCAGGAACTTGGGGCCCTGGTTGTGAACCTACTACTACTTTGCTAAATGGACATAGTATCTGAGAGAAGTTTCTTTTTGCAGTGCATGGTGGTGGTGAATGTAGTAATCACAAATTAAAGTGCAGAGATTAAGTGTCTGCACTGTGCTCAACCACAGGATATATATATATATATATATATATATATATATCTCACAACCCCTCTCCCGAGGCTCAGGAATCACCCAGAAACGGAGGGAGGAAAAGACCGCTAAGGTCAGGCAGGACCCAAAGCCAAACAGTGTCCTCTGGACAAGACAGGACCCTGCACTTATGACCTCATGGTAGCTAGTAGCCATGGTTGCCTGCACAATGCTTGCATAAGATGAAGCCAGTCGACATTCCAGCACAGAGTGAGACCTGCCCGAGCTCAGGAGCTGCCCTGCCAGCAAATGATGCTTCTGAGGGGAAAAGAATCAGTTTTTATTCAGGGCGTGGCCATGTGGGCCAACCGTAGATGACCACACCCATGATGGCAAAGACAGCAAAAAATGGAGTCAGGTGGTTAGTAAAAACGGGCAAACTCAGAAGTCCTTGATGGAAGAATTTTAGCCAATGGGGACTGAAGGGAAAGAATCGAACAACCCCTGTTTACAAACCTCTCTGCAATAAGCGATTTAAGCGAGGAGTAGAGATGGATGGTTAAGCCACTGACGTCGAAGCTTGCGGGATAATATACTCACCCAGTCCCAGCACTCAGACGTCACTTACAAAAGGCAAAGAGGGGAAAAGGAGACAAGAAGCTGATGTCAGCTCCATTTGAAAGAGGTTGCGTGAGGCCTTCAGGCACAGGCCTATAATCTAGCTGCTGGGAAGGCTGAGGCAGGATCCCTGTTCAAGGTCCACCTGGGCAACTCAGTGAGACCCTACTGCAAAATAAAGAGAAGAATAAGAGCTGAGTAGGGGGCTTAGTAGTAGAGCTCTTGCCTACCAAGTGCAAGGCCATAGGTTCAATCCCAGAGGACCCCACAGTCAACTTCCAGCTATAGTAAAGAAGAGATGGAGAAGGCTCTAGGACCACTTAAGGAAACTACCAGAAAAGTGCAGAATGTAGGGTATTTATAAGTATTAGTGTCTAGACTCTTCAAAGCATTAACGAAGGGGGAAATTTTAGAACAGGGGAATTAATAGAAACTACAGGGATGTAACCAAGTGCACTGCGTGAAACTAAATTAAATTTTAGTGGGAAAAAGAAAACCCAGACAAACAAAAACCGTGACTATGAGGAGATCTTGAGCCACTGGATAAACGTGAATATAGAAAACTGTTAATCCTGTGCATACAACCATATTCAGACTATGCGGAAGAAGGTTCTTAAAGACAGATGCATGCCAGACTGTTGAGGTGCGCATGCCCCACTTGCAAACTCCTTTCCAAATGCTTCAACAGAACACTGTGTTCACACGCACACGGGGAGAAGGCAGCGGAGGAGCAAATGTGCGTGCCACGAAGTTAATGGGCGTTTATCTGCGAAAGAGTTCAAGATGAAGAAGTGGTTTTTCAAAAGGCAGAAGTAGGCAAACCGGGACCCTGTGAGCAGCAGGAGGCAGTGAGAGCCTCGGAACACGAAAGAAAACAAGGGGAAGCCACATGCAGCTAACTGCTGTCCCAGTGAACCCTAATTTTCACTATAAACTCAGGAGGAGAACCGGGCAAGTGGTTTCCTCCTCCCAAACTGCAGAGTGAAGACTTTCTGCTCTCAGTTCTTCCAAACACCACTCGGGTAGACGGAAGTTAAGTCGGTGCTCACAGTGCAAGTGTCAAAGGCTTTAACAAAGTGCGGCAACTTGGCCATTTGCACCAGCTCTCGGTGGCGGTTTACAATACAGACCATGGGAACATGGGAAGTGAAGACCCAGTCAGTGGTAAGCTCAGAGGAACTCATTCACTCCAGTCATTTCAGGGACTGGGGACACTGCTCAGTTCAGAGCAGGTATGGTTCTTGCAGAGGGTCTGAGTCAGGTTCCCAGCACCCACCGCAGGGTGCCTCACTACAGCCTGTAATTCCAGCTCCAGGGAATGGCCTGGTACTGTTTTCTAGTCATCAAGGGCACGTGTACTCATGTATATACACACCTACACAAAATTAAACTAAACCTTATTTAAAAAAAATCATTTCCTGCCAGGCATGGTGGCACATACCTGTAATCTCTGCACCAGGGAGGCATTGGCAGACGGGATGCTCAAGGCTAGTCTGGTCTACACAGCAGGTCATTACACACTAAGGTCCCGACTTTAGGAAGCACACACAAAAGCTATTTCATTATTAGATACTAGATCACCGCTGTGTCTGTGCCTCCCTGTCTTAACTATTTGTGTTAAAATATGGTTATTTCTGTTACTTAACTCAATCCTCTGCTTCCATGCAATCTCCCCAAACACTATTACATGGCAGATTCTTTTTGCTTAAAACAGTAAGAGGAACTTTTTAAAAAGATACACGTTAAATCTTGCAATTACTTGACAGTTTTGAGAGGTAGGAAGAAGGCTGATTTCAGGTGAAAGTGGGAGGATGGGGTGCAGGGTGTACGGAGCCTTTGAAGTCCTCAGGTCCCTGGCCTAGCTCTGGGAGCACTATGCACCCTGGACAGGCTAACAGTCCTGGTTTCCAGATCTTAGTGAAGATGGGCAGCCCAGGGCTTGGGGGCCAATCCCAAACCTGACCTAGCGTCTGGGTTGTCTGCTGGTAAACCCTACACAGATCAACACATCCCTTCTGTGTCCTCTGCAGCTCGTCCTTCACTCTAAGCTTGCATTTGCTATTTCTTTTGGGGGAGCGGCTTTGTTCCTTCCTCCTCATCTGGTGGGACTGTTTTTCCTTCAGTCCACAATATCCAGTTCACATTAGATGTTCCTCAGACACACCACGGCCCTCAGATTTGATTCTGCTTTGAAAAAACCTAGAGCAGTGGTTCTCAACCTGCGGGTCACGGTCCCCAAACCAGCAGAAAACGTAGATATTTAACTTTACAATTTGTAACAGTAGCAAAATGACAGTTATGAAGCAGCAATAAAAATAATTCTATGGTCGGGGGTCAGCACATGAGGAACTGTATTAAAGGGTCACAGCATCGGGAAAGTTGGGAACCACTGCTCTAGAGTAACAATGTAATAATTTTTGACATTTTATTGTAAGATTTTAGAAGAGTTAGACCAGTGTCCTTCTCATTAAAATGGTATATGTATATACATTTTTAAAGCTACTTTTTCTCCCTCAGAGACTAAACTAAGGAAGAGACATGGTATCTAAAGGGAACACGTTTGCGACAGATTCTTACTGAGAGACCCTGAAATCAAGCCTCTATGAACAGGGAGTTCACCCAAGGTCCAGGAAAGACCTGGCATTGTCTGTGGGATAGGAGACAAATGCACCAACTGTTCCACGAGGGCCATGTGGAGTGACAGAGACCTCAGGACCAGAAACTAACCAAAAGCCCTGCTGGGAACTCGTTGGCAACACTTCTGAGAATGCTACTCCCTTCCCTGGAACTTGCTTAGCATAGGAAGGGCTGTGCTTGTCTGTTGGGGGTTCCTTCCACTTGTGCGCTTGTAATCTGTGGGCCCATTCAATTTATCTAAGTTGCTGCTAGTCTTTGAGTGTTTTTAAGCAATTAATTTTTGAAAAAAGAGTTATTTTTATTTTCAGGCATGGGTGTTTTGTATGCACAGATGTATATGCACCACAGGCAGGCCAGGAGCCCAAAGGAAGCCAGAAGAGGGCACAGCATCCCCTAGTACTCGAGTGACCTATGGCTGTGAGCAGCCACTGAAGCCACCTCTCTAGCACAGCAATTAGTTTCTTAAAGACAATTTTCTATGGATTTCATTCTCTCCATCTCTGCCCTTTTTAAAACGCTCTTCACTTTCCCACACTGAACAAGGAATTGCTCCACGGAAGTGGCTGTTCAGTGAACGCACTTGAGGCTATCCCGTTCACACAACCCTTATGCCGGCTGGCACTTCCACGCTTGCCATTAGAAGGTTTAGTGATCTGACATTTTTTTACGTCCACTTAAATGACACCGTGTCTGCTATTCAAATGCCAAACTACAGTAAAGTGTAGGTATACTTCAGCACTAACCGTCTTCCAGTCTGACTTGCAATCTGTTCTTCTAACTTCTGGAGCTCCGCCGTGTACGCCTCTATCCGAGCATGGCACACCATGAGGTTCTTAACTGCACGTAAAACCTGGTCTTTTTTTGTACTCAGGGAGAGCAGCTTCCATATTCCTTCTCGCATGCGGATTTCTAGGTCTATTTTCTCTCGTATGCTGCAGTCCTAAAATAGAGAATCGTTTGTATGAGGTAGTGATCGTCTAGAACTGCATTTAAAACAGGCAATGGGGAGTGTACTAGACATTCATTTATTTTCATATCATTCCAAGAATAAAATAAGAGTTTTGACTTGTCACACTATAAAAATACAGCGACTTTAAAAAGTTATTTGCCAAATTCTTAAATTTCTTTCATTATAAGGAATTCTTTCCAACATACTGGCTAAACAAAACAGAAACAAAGCTGAGAAAAATAAAGCTACTATTAGCACCATTAGCATAATAGAGTTCTCAACATTCTTGTCTACCTAGAACCCTAGAATGTGCGGTTATTTGGACACAAAATTTTGCACATGTTATTAATTAAAATAGGGTCACACTGGATTAGAATGGGTCTCAAATCTTAACAAGGTCATGTAAAGATACAGATTTAGGGAGAAGGCTAGGAAGACACAGACACACAAAAGCCACATAAAGACAGACACAGAAGCCACATACAGACACAGAGGCCACGTAAAGACATACACACCCCAAAGCCGCGTAAAGACACAGAAACAGAGGCTGTTGGGGAATATTATTTTCATGTGTGTGACTTTTATGCTGCATTTGTTTAACTCTGTGAAGCTGTGTTACTGTGCCTGTCTAAAACACCTGATGGTCCTAATAAAGAAATGAATGGCCAATAGTTAGGCAGGAGCAAGGATAGGCGGGGCTGGCAAAGTATAAATAGAAAGAGGACATCAGGGGCCAGGCCCCCAGCCAGTTACGGAGTAAGATAGAAAGGTATACAGAAACAGAGAAAAGATAAAAGCCCAGAGGTAAAAGCTAGTCAGGATAAGTTAAAAAAAAAAAAAAAGCTGGCAAGAAACAAGCCAAGCAAAGGCTGGGCATTCGTAAGCAATAAGCCTCCGTGTGTGATTTATTTGGGAGCTGGGTGATGAGTCCCTCAAAAAGCCAAAAGAGTAACACATCCCATGAGAGGGTACATCACAGACATACAGAAACATGACAAGAGGACACACACAGGGCTGGTCTTCTGAAGACACACAGAGAGAAGGCCCGATGATGGCAGACACATGAGGAGACCACGTGAAGACAGATGGAACACAGGAGGTCAGCAGCAGCAGCCAGAACCCAGAAGAGGAAAGGAAGGGTCTGCAGAGGGCAATGGTGCTATCCATATGATGACTTCTGACTTCTGGCCTCCAGATCTAAGGGAGGATGTGCTGATCATCTGTTATGTCTGTTACAGCAGCCTTAAGAAATACACAGTAAGCAGCTGGGGAAATGACTGGGCAATGAAGAACCAGGCTGCTGCTGCTGTTGCTGCTTCTCCTCTTACAGTGGACCAGAGCTCAGTTCCCAGCACCCACATCCGGCAGGTCAAAATTGCCTTCTGCTCCAGGGCAACTAACACCCTCTTTGTTCTATGGACAAGCACGTACCCCCTACCCCCCTGCAAAACACAAAAATATTTTTAAGTAAATAACTGAGCAACAAACTACAAGCATGCACAGATCGTGAGTGCTACAGGAGGCTGAGGGACACTGAGTGCACCCAGGAAAAACTATCTGAAAGAGCAGACAACTGAATAAAGCAAGCGAGGGAACAAAATGTAGAAGCCAAGGCTAGGAGCTCAGGGCCAGGAAAATGCTAGAGGCCTCGGCTGCCGGGACAGAGACTCAGCTCTGGATGGGTTTATTTTGGAGTCACTAAGAAATGTCTTTGTAGTTTAGTTCTGGTTCTTGGTCTTTTGTTCTCTTTAAAGACAAGGCAAAGGGCTCGTTCATATCATTAAAAGTCCGTAAACAAGGTGCGCAGTTCTCAATTCACTTTGTAGAGACTGTAATACGTGAAGGTCCTCTTTATGTACAAATACGTAACCTATTTCTGTGTCTATTTCTAAAAGTGATGATCCCAGGTTTGGCAGTAAAAACTATTGCTTTCTTATTGTACTGGAATATCAGTTTAAAAAGTGTGAAGGGAATCTAGCGATGAAAGTGGCGAACATTAAAAGGACAATCATTTCATAAGGAAGAGAAGCAGCCAGTGAGGAGAGCTGACAGTCTATGACGAGCATCCCCAGAAGCAAACCGCTGGATGCTTTGATTTGACTCTCTCCAAGACTAATCAGCTGAGACATTCACACAAGAGGACTATCTGATTAATTACCCTCAGCCATCACACTGTAGAATCTACATGCTAACTTCGTCATGTAGTGTGCACTGACTCAAACTGGGGCACCGCATAAACACTGTTCCTTGCCGGTCTCCTTTGCGCGTGACTGTGTTTCCTCAACTCTTACTTTGTCTGTGTACGACTTGTTGGCCCAATGACTACTCTCTTTCCATGCCTTCTGCAGTTAACTGTAAAAAGCGTCTCTGGGACCCGTATGTCTACAGTGACCAACGGCGGCAGGCTGGTGAGCGCTGGCAGGTGCATGCTGGGAGCATCTAAAGCTGGAATGAGCCGCTTTATGCCACAGTGCAAATGTAAATAAACACCAACTGGTGCCTCAAAACTCAGGTTTGCCTGTTAAACACAGCAAGGAGAGAGCTGACGGAGCTGACAGAGGTCCTGAAAGCTGGCTACATCTGAGGATCAACTGAGGCACAGAGAAAGAGCCGTATTAAAGCACCCGACCCCATGGTTCTCAACCTGTGAGTTGTGACCCCCTTCAGGGGGGAGGGGTCACATCGGATATCCTGCATTAGATTTACATTAGGATTCTTAACAGTAGCAAAATCAGTTATGAAGAAGCAATGAAATAATTTTAATTTTATGGCTTGGGGGGTCACCACATGAGGGACTGTATTAAAAGGTTGCAGCATCAGGAAGGTTGAGAACCGCTGACCTAGTGCTTTAGTGGCTCAGATGGACAGCTATTGTGGGACCCTCAAGTTCAGCCATCATAAAATTGCAACAACCCGAAGGAACCAGCAGGGGGACACAGCCACACTACTTACTAGCCTGGACTCCCTGGCCTCTGCCTGATCTATGAGGAGAGCCTTTCACTGTCCTGTCCTCAACAGTTGAAAAAGACTCAAATAATTACAGAGGCTTGGGAAAAAAGAGATAAGAACTGTAAATTCCAAACAACAGCTTATAGATGGGATTAAGCTAATGTTCACTAAGGAAATGAGGCATCTGGGGCAGTTATGACTGGAATTTCATCTTTTACAGCAGGAGTTAGCCAACGAGGGCCCGGTTGATGCCCGTTTTTATAAATAAAGTACTGAATTATACTAGCTCATCCTGGCTGTGGCTACTTCCCAACCACAGTGGCCGAGATGAGAAACTTAGAGTGTAGTCAGCAAAATGAACAATATTTACCATGTGGCCTTTTATCCACTCCAGTGGAAATACCCTATAGTCGAGGACCCTACCTTCTTTGCCAGGGCTCTTCCAGCAGACAAAAGAGGAATGACACACAGGGTGAACTCACTGCTCAGTGCATGCACACGTTGGCTTTGAACACTCTCAGTTAACAGCGTCCCCGATGGCAGCAAGTCTGTGTTTCCCACACAAGTTGTTAGCACACAAACAGTCTACAAGGAAACCTCTGATCAACACCACTAACCGGCTGTAGGCAAGTCATGGTTTACAGCGCCAAAGATCAGCCTTCACTGAATAGGTGCACGTGGTACCGTTGGGGAGACACTGATGTCTGGGGCGACCCAATGGGAAGGCAGACTGTGGAAGGAGGGCGATGCACTGAGCAAACAGAGATGCTGACTGTTCTCCAAGAGGACCGAAGAACTAAAACCATCACCTATCACTGTCTGGGCCCAGGCAGAGTAAAGGATGACTGTGGCCAACGAGAAAGGATGCTCTGTGTGCACCCTGCTGGAGTGTGGGGAAGCGGGTCCAAGAAGAATGAGTTAGTCCTCCTCTTCCTCTGGGTTCCGTCTTCTGAATAAGGGCCTGCACGGCCTGCATAGAATCAGGTCAGACAGACACTCCCATCAATGTCCTGATACGATAAGTAGTTAAAGTTAGCCGCTAAGAAGGAATGGACAGAGCAAAGCAAAAACACGGACTAGTTGGACCCTTTAGAAAGTAGAAGATGAGGGCTGGAAAGATGGCTCAGCGGTTAGGATGCTTGCCTGCTTGCCGTTCAGAGTCCACAACGTGCAGCTCACAACCGCCTATGACTCCAGCTCCAGGGGATCCAGAACCTTCTCCTGGCCTCCCAGGTACCCCCACACACATGTGCATATACACACAAACATAAAAAATCTTTAAGATGCGTAAAAGTAGAATTGGGGAACTAGGGAGATGGCTCACTGTGCAAGCATGCGGACCTGAGTTCACCCACCGAAAGCTGTGCCCCTGAAAGCCCAGGGATGGGGAGGGGAGGACATAGATCCCAGGCTTACTGGCAGTCAGTCTAGCAGAAAATGGAAAGTTCTAGGTTCAATAAATATTCCTGCTCTCTCACACACACAGAGAGAGAGAGAGAGAGAGAGAGAGAGAGAGAGAGAGAGAGAGAGAAAGAGGGGGAGAGAAAGAGGGGGAGTGGCACACACCTTTCATCTCCACCCAGGTGTGGCAGAGGCAAGCAGATCTGTGATTTCAGGCCAGCTGAGCCTCCTCTACATAGAGTTTCAGGCCAATCAGGGCCTACATGATGAAAACTTGTCTCAAAAACAAACAATAAAAAAATAAAAAACAAACAACAACAAAAATAAAACAGTGGAGAGTCATAATTTATGAACGCACCAATGCTGACTCTGGCCTCCGCGTGTATGGGCCCAGACAAGCATTAACTTGATACACGTGTGCACACAGAAATCAGAGCTAGAGCAGCCGTGTGCTGCCTCTCTAGAAGGCAGAGGGCCTGAACTTGATCTCTAACACCACAGAAAAATGATAAAGCAAGTGATCAGGATCACAGAAGAGAGACATCTGAAAAGGCTTTAAGAGCCAGAACAGCACAGAGACAGACAAAGGCCTTATTGTTGAAAACAAGGATGGGGTGCTTGGTAAAAGGAGAGAAACAATCCATAAGTAATTCTGACTGAAATCACTGCCTACCTACTACCCTGTAACTATGCCATGCTGGCAAAGAGACCAAGGGGACGGTAAAGAAAATTATGCTGGAGAGGATGTGGGCTAAAGGAAACACTCCTGCATTGCTGGTGGGAGTGCAAGCTGGTACAGCCCCTTTGGATATCAGTATGGCAGTTTCTCAGAAAATTAGGAAACCACCTACTTCAAGACCCAACAATACCACTTTTGGGTATATACCCAAAAAAATGCTCAATTGTGCCACAAGGACATGTGCTCAACTATGTTCATAGCAGCATTGTTTGTCATAGCCAGACCCTGGAAACAACCTAAATGTCCCTTGACTGAAGAATGGATAAAGAAAATGTGGTACACAATAAAGTACTACACAACAGAAAAGAATGACATCTTGAAATTTGTGGGCAAATGGGTGGATCTGCAAAATATCATACTGAGTGAGGTAACCCAGACCCAGAAAGACAAATATAATATGCATTCACTCATAAGTGGCTTTTAGACATAAAGCAAAGTAAAAGCAGCCTACAATATACAATCCCTGTGAACCTAAACAAAGAGGACCCTAAGAGAAACATACATGGATCTAATCAACATGGGAAGTAGAAAAAGACAAGATCTCCTGAGTAAATTGGGAGCATGGGGATCAAGGGAGAGGGTACAAAGTAAGGGGGTAGGAAGGGAGGGGAACGGAGAAAAACATAGTTCAATAAAAACAATAAAAAATATTCTCGGCTACACTAAGTAAAAAAGATTTGAACACATTTTACATGGCTAAAAAAAAAAAAAACCTCTGAATTTGTTTGCAACTCAGTGTCTTCCCCTTTCCCTAGTATTTGTGCAAGAATCCACGTTTAAACTTCTATCTTCCTGTAAAGCTAAGAGAGTGCCATTTGAGCGTCCATCCCGCCGCCCCCCACAATTTGATGCACGCCCACACCTGCACAGCTGTGCGGGACACGGGGGCGCTAATAGCAACCCGGGCACCCGTTCACGGGCTATCACCTCGGCTTTGCAAGCCTCGGGAGGACCGGCAGGTGAGAAAGGCCCCGGTGTCCTTCTCCAGCCCCGGCCTGTCTCCTCCTTGGGTGCAGCCTACGGGCGTGCAAACCCACGCTGCACGCTCGGCTCCCGAGCTCTCACCAGGCTGCAGCTTGCCAGTCCCCCGACCTCGCTCACCTGCTGTGCAGGGAGGCTCCTCAGCAGCCGCCCCTCCATCTCCGTGCAAGTCGGGGACAATTTGAAAAGCGCGCGCCGGGCTGCAGCTGCCGAGCGCACCAACCGCCCGGCCGTACCAAGTCCGGGCTGAGGGGGAAACCCAGCCCACGACGCCGCGCAAGCGCACTAGCGGCGCTGAGGCCAGGGCCGCCAGAACACGAAGGAGACCCGAGGGCTCTGAACAGACCCTCGGCAACAACCGGCTTTAAACGCGGGCGGGGCCTAGGAGGGTGGTGGGCGGGGTCTGAACAGCTTGCCAGCCTGGATGGGCGGGGCTTGAAGGAAGAGTACGTGCCTGGGTGGGCTGGACAAGCGCGCAGGTGGGCGGGGTGGGGTTCCTGTGGAGGCTTTCCCTGTAGATTTGAGGTAAGTTTTCTCCAGCATCTTTAAAAGAATGATTGAACCCCATAGATGATGATGTTGAAGATGGCTTCAAACATGTCTTCACGCAGAGATATGCTCTTAGTACGGCTGGGGAGACAGACAGTACAGCAGACATTTTTGTGAGCTCTGTCCCTGGGTTTTTTCGCTTCCAAAGTGGCAGCAAACAACCAGAAGCCTGGTTGTTGGCACAGTCTTTCCTAAAGCCAGAGGACGGGGAGATGCCGAAGGATTGAACTGGGGGCCTCAAGCATGGCAGGTCTACCACTGAACTGTCCAGCTCAAACACTAATTTTAATTGAAGGGTGTATACACCCTTGTAAAGGGTTTAAAATCATCCCTTAGCTTATCGTGTTCAGGAAATGTTTAGGGCTTTGGGCATTTTCCTCCTGAGAGAAGACTCTGCCAAATCAACCCTCCTACCTCACCTCATAAATGGCTTTGGGCACTCTTCCCTCTGTGTACAGCCTGACTGTATATTTATTTACCTAGAACTTCCCCTATTGGGTTTGTTGTCCTAGTGTTCCACCTATGTTAACCCTTTGTGGACTTTAAATTATATGGTCCTCTTCCTCACAAGCCTCTTTGTTAAAGCAAATTGGAAGATGTACGGCTTAAAAATAAAGCATGGACCAGTGAGATGCTCAGCAAGTAAAGGTGCCTCATGCCAAACCTCCTGACCTGAGTTCGAAACCCCAGGATTCATATAGTGTATAGTGGAAGGTACACACACACACACACACACACACACACTCCTTCCTTTCAAGTGGATAATTGCCTCGTTGAGGTCCTCAGGACTAGGTGATTCCAGAAGCTACCCAGTTAGGAAGGTGTGGCTCTCATATTAGCAGCCTGCAATGACCCACAGTTGTCAGGTATGTGAAACTCAAAATTACCAACACTCAACTCACCCAGTTCCCTCCGAACACAGGCCTGAATTCCACTGTCATGAGGTGCCCCTTGCCCTAGCGCTCAGCTCCCTTGTGGCACTACTTTGGGGTGTAATTATCCTCAATGATCGTGAGCTGCAGGAGCCAGGCATAACACCTGACTCACAAAAGAAGCAAACACAGAGAACATCTTCAGGCACACGCCAGCGTTTGCTGTGTAACACATACAACTCTCAGACATGGATCAAAATACGTGCCAAGGGCGGCACCTTGGAAGAAACAAAAAGATGACCAGTTTCAAACTGAACACTGGTGTGTTTGTGGATGAGTACTGTAGGTGTGATAATCCTAGGAAGAAGTCTAGAGAAGGCCATGTTTAGTACTTGCAGTAGACTGTGGATAGTGGCTGTTGAAGACCTTTCTCTTTGTAGAAGAGATGATGTGGGCCTATCCCCTTCTTAGTCATCGAGGGATGTGTCCCGGAAGTGCTTAAAGGCTTACCCTCTAGCTGGTGATTAGAGTAGCTTAGAATAGGATTTCTGTTTCCTTATTTATCCCCAGGTCCTTTCTGGTTACTGCTAGCTTCATCAAACATAGTTCTCTTTGATGTCTGCAATGTATACAAAAATAGAACCAGTCTCCGAAACGCCAGAAGGTGAAAGAGTGGTGGCTGAGGATTTGCCCTAGTTGGCAAGATGCTTGCCTAGCCTGGCAAGGTCCTGAGTTCATTCCCCAGCACACCGTAACCTGGGCATGGTGATACATGCGGGTCATCCTTGTACTCCAGAGGTAGGGGCAAGACAATCAAAAGTCTCAAGTTATTGTTGGCTACAAAGTGAGTTGAAGCTAATGTAGGTTACAAGAGATGCTGTCAAAACTAAAATAAAATAAAGAGCACACAAGTAGTTGTATTAACTTGAGAATTTATTTATCTAGCAATGTATTCATTGTACACCTAGAAGAACATAATAAGTACTTTTTTTTTTTCTATTCGAGGGCTAAATTGAGGCATCCTTCAACTCTCTTTCTTCTGGCTCCCCCAGAGATGTTAGATACCCACCCACCTTCCCAGGTTTGCTTCAGCTGGAGGTTGAATAATGGGATCATTTCAGTACTAATTACAATATGGACATTATTTATATGAACTACAACAAATGGAGGTTAATTCATAATTAAGTGGAAAGTGATAGAAACAAAGCGATCAAGTAAGACAGTAAGTGGTGTTAAAAGTATATTTTCCTATATTATTCTTCTTAACTTTCGCTGCCTGGAATTCACTGATACAATTCTGCCTATGCCTCTAGAATGCTGAGATTCAAACACATCCCCCTGCACCCAGACCCATTGCTTTTCTTTTAAAAAAAATATAGTTTATTATAGAACAGGCAACTCTTGCTAATCTTTATTTCATTCAAGACCTTCAAAAAATTCCAATTTGAAAATTATCTTGGAGAGTCAGTGAGATAGCCTGACAGTAAAGGAGCTGCTTGCCAAGCCTGAAAACCCAAGTTCATTCCCTAAGACCTACACCACACGAGGACAGATCTGACTCCCATAAGTTGTCCTCCGACCACACACAGGTTGCTGCTTACAAACATTCACCTTATCCTCACAATATACAAGCTAACTAACTAATTAATAAAAAATAAATACTTTTTTTAGATTTAGAGAAAATTGTCTATAATTCAAATAATGAAATTAAAATAAAATGTAAAGAGGAGAGATGTGTGTTTGTATTATGTACAAAAGAGAAGGAAAGTGGAAGGAGGGAGAAGAAGGAAGAGAGGAGAAGAAATGATGGGGAAGAGAGATAGGTAACGATGCTAAGCAAAGAGGTTTTTTTTTTTTAAAAAAAAAAACATAATCTACAAACAGCGGAAGCATCATCTAATCTTACAAAGGATATAGGATGCTGAGTCTGAGGACTTAGCCCTGCAGTTCTGGGAAGGCTGCTCAGTTTCCTTACCTGTAAAACAGAACTGCTAATAGCTAGCTTGTCTTTAAAGTTGAGACAGTGACAGCCAGTTGAGATAAGATTTCGAAAGTACCCTATAACTGTCTCATTCTACAAATACAGGCCATGACTCATAAAGGAAGGACACACCAGTACCTCAAGTCAACCATTTTAGACCCAAAGAACTCTAAGAGTGGATTAGGAAAAAACATATATATTTAGAAATATTCAACATATATCACCTACCACTGACAATATTGAGAATATGTGTGAAGGAGGTGGGGATGGGGGATAGGCCTGCCTACAATCAGCTGTTCTGAAAGCTAAGGAAGGATTAAAAGTCTGAGGCCACCTGAACAATTTAGCCAACTGGTCAAAATAAAAAAAAGGGTTTGGGGATATTAGCTCAGTGGCAAAGTACCCAAGAAACATAAGACCCTTAGTTCTCTCCCCAGTACTGAAAATCAATACAGTCACAAAAATCCAGCTGGAAAATACCCAAAATGTGTGTCAGACGTAGAGCATTGAATCCATACATAAAATAAAATATAAGTATTACTTAGGTCTATTATTAGTCTATCAACTGCAGATGAAAGATTGAGGGGGATAAGATTTTACGGTTAGTAAGTTGATCAATACTAATTCAATAATGCTAAGGTTTGGAAGGTAGGAATTTGTCAATACAATACTTTGGCAGAGACAATGTAAATGTGCCTAATCAGTTGAGGGAGAAAGTAAAAATATAAAGTCAAAAATGTATGTGTGTCTATATATAAATTCTTCACCCATAGGTATATATCCTTTTCTTTTAAAATATACTTGCAAATCCGTACTGGCAACATTGTGCTTGTAATAGAAAGATACCAAAATAACACAAGTGTTTATTTCAGGAGTGTGAATAAATTATAGCACTCTACCCAGATGACACACATCTTTAGAAAGGAATGTACCATAGCCGTGTCCTATCTGGGTAAACTGGTCTTTCTCAGAATGAAGGAAGCTAATTTCAGAAGACTGCAACTGGATATAATATTTTTGCATTGCAGCCACAAGAGAACTGAAGCTGTATTGTTCGTTGAAACCCACGTGATAAAAGTCTACATTTCACGCAGAAGAGGATGCTTTGGAGGGTATGTGTTTGAAGCGTTTCTCAAAGGCTCGAATGCTGAAGGCTGGGGTTGGCAATAGTGTTCGGATTAGACTGGGGGCGCTCTCTCCTCATCAATGTACCAGTCCATTGATTAATTTGAGGGCTCACCATAAGGTAGTGAAACCTTTAGGGGATGAGGCCTCGTGAGAGGACATAGGTAATTGGAGCATAACCTTGGTGCGTTCGGTTACTCTTCTGCTGCTGTGATAGAACACCGTGACCCAATGTGTGTTGGCTACGGTTCTAGAGGGTAAGCCTAGAATGGCGGGGTATGCATGGCAGCAGATGGCTGGAGCAGGAAGCTGAGAGTAGATGCTTCAGCTGCAAATAGGAAGCAAAGAGAGGGAACTAGAAATGGAACGAGGTGACCCAAATGACACTGCATACCCTAACACAAAAAGAGCAACGTTGGGGAGAAAAGAGTTTATTCAGATTATAGCTCCCGATTATAGTCCATCATTTTTGGATAAGTCAAGGCAAAAACTCAGGTAGCTAGTTACTCATGTCACAGTCTCTGTGAGTTCATATGTGCATCGGCTCCGTTCTGTCTAGAAGGCCTTGTTTCCTTGGTGTCCTCCATCCGCTCTGGCTCTTACAATATTTTTGTCTTCTCTTTTGCAAAGTTCCCTGGACCCTGAGGGGAGAGATTTAATGGAGAAATCCCATTTTGGACTGAG